TATAAATTTATAAAATGCTAGTTTGAGTGATTAATATTTAAAAAAATAATTTGTAAATTTTGAATGAATATTTATAAATTATAACATTTAAATTATTAAATATGAAAATATTTAATATTTTGGCAATATTTATTAAATTTTATTTTGATAAGACTTGAAGATACCTAGTACTCTAAAAAAGACTTTAGGATGCTTAGTGCTCTTAAAAAAAAGTTTAGAAGCAAATTAGCACTAAAGAATATGGTTAGAGTCTTACTTGTCATCGTGCATGAGCCTTACTCACATGCCATGTTAGCATAAAATGGAAAAGTTAATGGCTTCTTAACAAAACAGCATTTTTGAACCTCAAAAAAATACTTCAAGGTAAAAATTGCCTTACTTAAAAGCATAAAGTGCCCAGCGCTCCTAAAAAATAACTACAAGGGCAAAATTAAACTTTAATCCTAAATATTTTGAAATTGTGATGGGTGAATTTATGTGAAGTTTTTTTTAATATTTTCACTCATTTTATCATTTTTTATAAAATATAAAATCTTCTCTCTGTTTTTTAGAAAGGAAAACTTTATAAAAATTCACCAACTACAACTTCAGAGAACTTAAATTCATAAATTTTAGACTAAAATACATAAAATTCTCTTAATTGTGATGTAGTTATATATGACTCCCTCACCTTTAAGCATTTAAAATTAACCTTCATAACCTTTAATTTTGCTTTTCAGAATCCCTATCATGAATTAATTATTATTTTATTAATATAGTTATTGTCATGTTAGATTAACGCAATACACATATGGCATATGATTGGAAAACAAGATTTTCATTATTTTTTAACACAATTTAAGAAGAGGTAAAATTATAATTTTTATTTTTAACACACATGATGATACTTTCATTTTTTTAGTTCAGCGACATTGTTTTCGCTATTCACAAGTAACACAACTTAAGAGAAAAATTATAATTTTATTAATTAAAATAACCTTCTATATTAAACAAATAAAAAGAAAAATATCTAAAAATTATCATTGATAAGAATCATATAAATAACAATTTATCCTTTAATACAAGAAAACCATGATATTTTATAAGTTGTTTTTTTAACAAAATAAATATAAAACACCAATAGCAAATAAATATATCTTTTTTCTATATCTGCACACATTTTATTCGTAATATACCAGCAACATTTTTTTTTTTGAGTAAGTACTAAAACTTTATTCAAATGAAGAAAATAACCGCTTTGGTCAAAAATCAAAATAGAAATATGGGGAAGATCGTAAACATACTATTTGAGAACAGAAAAACTTGCACTGCATAAAGTTAAATACAATACAGTATGTAACAATCTATACATACAAATATATATATATATATATATATATTCTTCATATGATGACTTACTTAGAACAACAAACTTCGCGCATCAAACTACGTACCCACCACGAATAGTTTTCTGTTTTGTTCAAATAACATTACAGATGAACTAGATATGCACGTACGTGAAACATATAGAATTCAAATAGTTAACCAATAATTATAATCGAAGTAAAAGCATGAAGAAGCTTTCTGATCATATCACTCCTTAAAGGTTGAGCCTTGTAATATCTTGCACTTTCAGAAAAGATGGTCCTGGATGCACGATGAACCAAAAACAGCTGACACTATTGACCATAGTCTAATTAATAACAATAGCTAGGTTAACTTATAGGTTGGAAGAGCTAGAAAATGTTTGATTGTTGGGGCTCTGAGACCAAACTTTTCTTCCATGTCTAAGTCACTAGGACACATGCCATAAGGAAGCTCCCAACTAAAGCAATGCACCAATTGAGATCCAAGAAATTTAACTGTAGTCAAACCCATTTGAATTCCACGACATCCCCTACGACCTGAACCAAATGGTAACAATTCATAAGCATGTCCTCGAATGTCTATATTGCTATCAATGAACCTCTCTGGATAGAACATATAAGCATTGTCCGACCATACTTTAGGATCCCGTCCTATAGCCCGAACATTTACTATGATCCATGTCTTTTTTTCTATGTAATATCCGTTAACTATCACATCCTTCATACTTTCACGAGGGATTAGTAATGGTCCTGGTGGATGTAGTCTTAGCGTCTCCTTAATTACCATATCTAAGTAGCGTAGCTTTTCTAAATTAGCCTCTTCAAGCATTCTGTTCATTCCAACAACATTTTGCAGTTCATTCTGGAGATTTTTCATCACTCTCGGATTCCTCAAGAGTTCTGATAAAACCCAGTCAATTACAACAATAGAAGTGCCGGTTGCCCCGAAAATCATATCTAATAATATAGCTCTGAGGTGAGGTCTATCAATGACATGATGATTTTGGTCGTCGCGTAGATCATCCACGGGGTCATGCATCAGTGAAAGCAATATGCGGACGAAGTCTTTTTGGTGCTGCACATTGTCTGCTCTCGCACTACTTGTTCATGCTCTATGACTATATTTTCCAAAATACCATCAACTGCCTCATGGTTTATCCTCATTTTTTTCTGTCAAACCCTGAAATACATTAGTCAGATGCATCAATAGCTTTGAAGTATGACATCAAATACAATTTTTTGCCAGTTCATATTCATAAAATTCAGGTATGACTAAAACGAGTTATTATAATAGCTAGTTAGAGAGAAAGACAGTGGCACATATATTTAACATATATACCTGGAGATCAGATACTCCAAGCCAAGGGACAAAATCAACCAGATTAAATTGCCCAACCAAGTCCAGTGCCTCCTTAATGAGCCCTTTTAAGTTAAACTTATCGTCTTTGGCACGTCCCAGGATCATCCTAAACATTATATTTTCTATAGTGTCGCCCACCACCTCACTAAGATTGACGACCTCACGCGCTGCCGCAGCTCTCTTCAAGTGACTTCACCATCACTTCCACTTCTTCCTTCCCCAGAGGAGCTAACATCTGTACTCTTGACGTGCTTAGAAGATGAAGGGTACTCACTTTCCTCACATATCTCCAGTACGGACCATACTCTGTAAATCCAAGTCCCTTTGTTCCTCTAGAGAATGGAACGCTTGTATGTCGGGTCGGGTGTGAAAACGGTGTCGTGAGTCTTGAGGAATAGCTCTGCAGCTTCAGGGGACGAAACGATAATTGCAGGAACTTGTCCCCACTTTAATGACATGGTGGGACCATGTTTTTGGGCCAGCGATTGAAGGCTGCGGTGGGGCAGTTCTCCCAACATGTGGAGGCTTCCGACGTTCGGGAGGGACGGCGGACCTGGCTGCCGTTTCCGATCATCTTGTTGTTTTGGAAAGATTATGGAATGGGATCAGAGGAACATGAATGTGAGAAAGACAACAAGAAGAAACGCTAATATTGAAGGAAACATGTTTGATATTTTGCTCTGGAGACGTTGGAGACCTGGCTAGTATACAAGAAAATGGGTTCGTCCTGTTTGGATTTTATAACAAGAAAAATTTATTGATTAATTATTATGGTTAATAAATTATCCAACTAACTTGATCCTCGCCTCCTCCTTTTTTGTACCCTTCCCTTCTTTTTTCTTTTTATCATTAGATTACATCAAGATTTAGAGAGTTGAAATTTAATTCCCTATAAAATTATTATTAAAATTTCAAATTATAAATAAATATAAATAATAAAATTTAAACTGAATGAACAATTAAAAATATAATAAAAATAAAATAACAAAATATTTTACAAGAGATCAAATTTAAACAGTCAAAATATTGATATAATAATTAAAAATAAGAAAAGGATGATAATGTTCTATTTTTTATATTAAGTATGCTTAAAAATAATATACTTAACTAAAATAATTTAAGTCATTTGGTTAGATGCTTTTTAAATTTATATATTTATAATCTTTCTTTTCTGTTCTTGGTATAATAATTAAAAATAAGAAGAGGAGGATAATGTTATATTTCTTATATTAAGTATCTTAAGAATAGTATATTCCATCAAAATAATTTAAGTTATTTGATTTTTTTAAAATTTATATATATTTATAATTTATTTTTTAATGGATAGTTGTGAAATTTCTTTCATGTTCTAATGGAAAAGGGGAGGAGAGAGGAAAGTGGAGAGGTACATCGAAAGAGGTTAACAGAGTATGAAATATTTTAGAGGTTGGAACTTGGGACATTCTCTATATCGGATATTTCTATCTCTCGCCTTTCATTCTATCAAACATTCTCTGCTCCTGCATGTGCAAGTTAGTTAAAGAATTCGAAGGAAGCGTTCAAGTGTTCATAGAAGCATTGTGATTTGGTTTTGGAGAAATATTGTCAGACCCGCCGTGCCGCTCTTTTCTGATTTCGTTTCACACAAAGCTTGAAGCAATTTCTTCCTTCCACGAAATTCATGCCGTCTCTCCCCTTTCTCACTCCACTCCACGTTTGACAGACCTTTCACACACTACTTGAAAAAGTCAGGTTAGTGAGAAAATTTGGCGAGGATTTATGTATTTCTCTTGTATTAGTGAAGAATTTTATAAAAAAATTTAATTTCCTCTTTAAAAAATTATTTAGCGAGGAACTTTAATGAGAGAGAGCATATTCCTATCTAGTTTGCCTAATTAGCCCTCTCTAAATGTTTAAATAGTGAGAAAATATAATTCTTTTTAATTAGCGAGGAATTGGTGATGAATGGTTATTCCTCTTTAAAAATTTAATATCAAAATAATAATAATAATGATAATTATAAGGGTTCTAGCTCTATATTTACTTTTTTAAAAAATGTGCATATTTTACTAAACTATTATTTTATACTATCTTAATATATATAAAATATATTTTTTAAGAATTTATAATGCCTTCTATATAATTGTTTTTAAAAAAATTATAATCTTTTATATATGAAAAATAGTTTTTACTTTATAAGATCTCTTTTATGAAAAATATTTTCTAAAAATATATATTGCATCTACAATTTCATAAACCTCCAATTTGCTTTTCAGACCCAATATTATTCCCTCCTTTTTTTTTTTTTTTCCATGCAGGCCTTATCCTCTCATTTCATCGTGCGCTCGTCGACTTACTCATACCGCGCTTGCTCAAACCACAAACGCAAGATATGCTGGCACTCAGGTGAGGACGTGCAGGTGAGAACGCACAAGCGAATCACTCCATTGTAGCTGATTTTATCTTTAATCTAACCTCATTATTAAGTTCATCTCCCAAATCTTTGAGGTGCAGTAGTGTTGGCTATTTTAGAGTTGCTGTTGCTATCGTCGTTCCAATTGTCATCAATGTTCCAATTGCCAAAGGGAGAACTTCTTGTTCACCAGGTTTTTATATGATTCAAACTATTGTGTGGCTCGTTTTGGTCTTCCCAAGTGCTGATGAATTGTTCCGTTATTCCAATTGTGGCAAATAGATTTAATGCTTTGGTGTTATTTTGGCCGTTGGCAATGTCATTCCTGTTTGCAAATCTTAGGTGCTTGGTTTTGATGTTTTGAGTCTCTTTAAGCCTCTTTCTTTTCTTTATACTGATGAAAAGTTAAATTAAATGAAACTCCTCTTTTCTTCTTTAATCTCTGTGTTGCCCCAAATGTATTTGTAAAATTGTCTCATTGAGGAGTCCCAGGTTTCTTTAGATTTTCACCCTGTTGCCCCATGCATATTATTAATTAGAAATATCAGTTACAAGTAAGTAAGCATTAGATAACTATCAATGGGATAAGGGACTTGTAGGAGGAATAACACCGCAACTCTGTCCTTCCCAGAAAGGAACATTTCCATCATGATCAATCACGATATGGTAAGTTTCCCCAGGAGCTTTTGGGCCGACCAACCTCTCAAGAGAAACAATTGTTCTTGTATAGACTTGGGTCTTGGCTCAGCTTCTTTCTATGTTATTGACTTTGATAACCAATAATATAACGTTAATATGGCAGGCTAGCAACATAATCTTCATTTACTTATTTATGTTTGAAGAAGAATCATGTTTTTTGGGTATGGAGATTCTACTAGAGGTAGAGAAGTAGAAGTGCAAATTAGTGGCAGTACAAATCAGAAACTTTCTAAATTGCATTTATTACAATTATTGTCTTCTCAAGAATTATGAAATCACTTTTCCTAGAAGCTATAAGCACGAGTGTAAAGCCTTTGCAACAAGACAAAATAAGCACTTAGTAATAGCTTGTGAAAGTAAGAGAAGTCTGTTGTTATGATAAAATTAATTCTTAATTCTTGGCCATGGAAAAGCTTCATGATTGTTTATAGGCTAATTATGCTTTATTTTTCTATTTCAGGGCTTCTTAGGATGCTTGTGCTGACAGATTTTTTTTATTATTAAAACATCGAAGCTGTTAAAATTACGACAAGTATGCAAAGCACAGTGGTAAGATCAAGGCGTCTATGTCTAAGAAGATAACTTTGTTTCTCACATTTTTCTGCATGCTGAATCTTCATTTATTAGTTCATATAATTTTTTTTTTCTTATTTTGTTTTTAATACGACGATGGCATGTGGAATCTAAAATTTTTTGAATAAAATATTTGTTAAAACTACCTTTTCTTTATCATGAATGTTGCAAAAGGTCCAAGACTAAGATATCCGCGAGTGTGAAAAACAATAAGAAAAATTAGGACAATTTCGAAGGTTGCAAAGCTTGTTCAGAAAGTAAGTTCTTCATCTTCTTCCTCTGTTTAATTGCAGTAATGTTTACCTGATAAATTGCAGTAATGGGATAAGTCATTATGTGTAATTACATGTTCAGAGAGTAATGTTTAATTGCAGTAATTGGATAAGTCATTATGTGCAAAAGAGTTACAGGTCTCTTAACATGTAATAATAATGTTTATTTGATGTTTTGCATTTTCTGGAGAGTTGATAAGGGTCTTCTGTAGATTAAGGAATTGTTGAATGTTAAAGAGAAAGTTTAGGGAGCTCTCGATTCCTTTGTTGCTTGGGAATTAGAGTTTCCTCTTATTACTATAAAGAAGGCACTTAAAACTCTTGAAGAACAAGAATAATGGAAGCATGTAATACATGTATTTTTAACAAACTGGGAAATTTCCTTTTTCATTTTCTTTGATGTTATTTTGGACTCATAATATTAGTGTTATGTTAATTTGAACTTGCTCCATTTATTCAACTTGCGTCCTAAAAATGCAATTGCTTCCTTTGGTCTGATTGCCCTTTTTTCTTCATGTTCTCATCAACCTCCTATGTTCAATCTGTGGGCACCATCTGGGTTGATTGTTTTTCATCAAAATTACATATGGCTTTGTAGGTGACAAAATGGATGCCAAGCAAAGGTCAAGGAAGGACAACAGGAAGCTATTTCACATTAATTAATGCCTTAGCAGAAGGTTATAGATTGGATGAAGCTGAAGAACTTTGGATAAAATTGTTAATGCAGAACATGGAAAGCTTGTCTCGTAGGTTCTTTGATAAAATGATATCCATCTACTATAAGAGGGGCATGCAGAAGATGTTTGAGGTAGTCGCACATTAGGTGAGACAATCCTAACTCCAGAGTAACATGCTAATAGTGCAAATTCTTTCAAGCAACTAGATCTAAATGGTGGTGAAAAATAACTATGTTATTTCCTTAGTTTTTTTTTTTTTTTATATGTATGAGATACTTTTAGAACTCTTGTTAAGTTTATTACTCTACTCTCTTATAATACCACATGACTTTTAATATGTGGTTAACATATTGAACCATTATGTTATAACTTTTTATATATGGTTAATAAATTGAATCACTTATCTTACATTGTGTACTTTAAATTTCATTTTCTAGTCAATTGCTTAATTGAACAGGATTTATTTATAATTAAAATTTTGATTCTTACAGAATCAATGTGCAATTTAGTGAGAAAATTATTCCTCTTTAATTAAAACAATTTGTGAGAAATTAATTTCTCTAATTGTTTGCTAGCCTCGATATTTTTATCACCAATTACAATCTATTAGTGAGGAAATGGCAATGGCATATTCCTTGTTAATATTAGCAAGGACAGCATTCCTCGCCAAATGTCCTAGCTAAAAAAAAAAAGAATTAGTAAGGAATAATTCCTTGCTAAAATTAGAGATAAAATAATGTCCTCGATAATTTCTTACTAATTAATGAGAGAAAAAATTACATTTCGCTAAATATTAGTGACCTATCATTTAGCTATGATGTTAGTGAAGAAATTATTTCCTCACTGAATTGTTGTTAGCAAGGATATATATGATTTTAACGAGGAATATGATCCTCGCTAAATCTTGATTTTCTTGTAGTGACACATACCATTTATAGTCTCAAACCTTAATATTTTAAAAATTTACATCTTTTCAATTATATCTTAATTAAATAGCTTAATAATGATAATTAAAATTTTAATTCATATCTTTTTTTATCAAAAAGAGTGATATATAAAATAGAGATCTAATTGAAAAAATAATTATATATAAGAACTGCTCAATGCTTTATACTGTGATCCGGAATTGTATAAACAACTTGATATAAACGATGGAAAGTATAATGAATGCGCGTGATGGTTGAATTGGTGAAATATTAAAGGAAGGAAAAGACCCATAGAAGTGTGCAAGTTGATGAATGTGCGTCTTTATCAGTATAAAATCTGTGCCTTAACTCAAAAGGCTTAAACATCCACTCTTGTTATTTCTATTTCTATTATAAGTTTTTAATTACTTCATTGAAATTAAAAAGGGACAATTAACTTATTAAATATATTTTAAAATTTAAAATTATTCCAACATTACTCATCAAAAAACATAAATTTTTAAAAATAAAAAGAACTTTTCAAATATTCTCTCCTATGGAAAAAAATTTTGGAGAAAAAAAGAGAGAGAAGTATAATATAGGAGAAGTCATATAAAAATATTACATTAACATTATTTTTTTTAGTATTTGGAATGGTAGTAAAATTAAAAAATATTAATTGACAACCACATATGTGACTTATATTAAGGATCACATCATCTTTTAGAGCGCTGCGTCCTTTATATAAAAAGGAGTGAAAGGAGAACATATTTAATATAAAATTTTTAATTAGAAAACTATGGCATCAACAATGCAATATAATTATTATAAACTTTGTGTTGTACAGCCCACAAGGTAGTTGTTTTTTATGATAAAAAATTTCAGTGCATTTTTAGAATGAATTATATTTTGAGAAAATTTCAATTGATTACACAAATTTATATAAAAAAAAGATAAATTACTGGGGGAAGTATATATAAGGGAATTGAAGACAATCTCATGGTGCAGTGCAGTGCCAAGTGACTCGATCGACATGCTATCCTATGGCCAAATATCACCAAAAAAATGTATTTCCCATCACTTTTACAAAACAATAAACATGATAGATTAACGATATGTTTGGTTTCTGTTTAAAAAAACAGTTTTTTATTTTTAAAAACAAAAAAAAATTGTTTGAATGATTGTTTTGAATTTAGTTGTTTATAAAACTGTTCTTATTTTTTGTTTCTAAAAATAAAAAATAGAAATATCTTAAAACTGTTTTTTATTTTATTTTTCTTGTTTTTAAAATATATTACATTTGATTATTAAAAACCACAATTATTTGGACCAATAATTATAATAAACTGTTACTACTAATCACTGATGACCATCACTTTTAACCAATTTATTAATTTTAAAACTGTTTTTAAGTCAACACAACTAATTTTTTGTTTTGTTTTGAAAAATAATTTTAAAAATAGTATTGCAAAACAGTTTTCAGAAACCCAAAAAAAAAAGATAATAGAAATTAAATAGACCCTAAACTTACTTCAACTCATAGTTGGTACCTAATTATGTAACCGATAATTGTTGGAACAGAAATACTTGGAATTGTGAGGCCAAACTAAGTCCAGGTCACTAAGACACATTTTAGATTTGTCTTTGTGAACTAATCAAGCGACAACAAATTTAATCGTGTGTTTAACAATGATATTTGAAATTGTGACATGCTTTTATAATTATTGATCATTTCAACTACCATATTTTTCATTTGGCCTGTGCCTTAATTTCTTGACGTCTTTAATTTTGGTGGTTACTTGGTAAACATTATTACAAGGCGTCGAAATGCAGACGTGTAGCATAAAGAAATTGAATCACTATTTTTGATAATGGGACGTATGTGAGAAGGCTTCCACACAATTCTAATGTACTATTTAAGACACTAATAAGTTATAAAGTTAAAGGATAAAAATACAATTTGTGCCTGAACTTTTCCCCGTGACTAAGTCACTAATAAGACACCGCAATGCAATACGACAACAAATATAATTGTGTTAAACAATGATCATTAATTTGAAACAATGACATCCTTCTATAATAATAATTGATTAAATATTTCAACTACTACATTTTAGATTTTTCTTTTGCCTTAATTCATCTGGATGTCATATTTTGTTTTTGGAAATTAATCTGCAGATCTTTAAAAGTTTTTTCAATTTTTAATTTGTTCTCTGGGCTCATTTTGTTTTACTCAAGGGGAAAATGAAAAGTAAGGACCCCATAAATCCATTACTTATTATTAGAGACCGTAAATTATTGAAATTTTAAATAATAGACCATGGTCATTACTTGAAATAAAAAATGTATAAGTTTACAAAATTGCCTTCGCGCAAACATAAAAAACAGTTGATCTAATCTCACTTTAAAAATCAAGAAAATACACTACTAAAATTACTTTTATAGATTAGGATTATTGTTAATCTTGGTTGGAGAAATCAAGATTCGTACTTGGGAATGTGATTAACAATTATCCCAATCTATAAAAGTAATTTCAATAGTTCTAACCTATACTTGGGATCTTGATTTTTTTAACTAAGATTAACAATAATCCCAACTTGTAATAGTAATTTTAGTAATATTTTTCTTAATTTTTCAAGTAATCTACTTATAACAAATCACAAGTGATTGGCTTCATATTTAAAAGTGACTTTCATAAGTTTTCAAGTGATGAATACCATATATTCACAAGTGAATTTTAGTTTTATACTAGGAAATAACTTATTCTAAAGTGGGGATATTGGTTTTTCCAACTAAAATTAACAATAATCATAACTCATAATAGTAATTTTAGTGGTCTTTTCTTGATTTTTTAAGTTGAGACTCAAGGATAATTTTGTAAACTCATATATTTTTAATTTCAAGTAAGGACTATGGTTCATTATTAAGATTTCAACAATCCAAAGTCCTACTTGTAATTATTGGTCTTATGAGGTCCTTAATTAATTGTCATTTTTCCTTAATCAAATCTTTATAGTTTGATCAATTAAATATATTAGTCCTTGAATATTAATGAATGATTAAATTTTCAAAATAAAAACATTTTTAAATTTATAGAAAATTTAATTTAATATTTTTAGCAAAAAAATTTGATTTAATACAATATTTACATTTTTATTAATTTTTTATGAAGATTCTATATATATATATATATATATTTATATATAAAAGTTAGTTAGAAAACATAATCTCATTTAACTAAAATTTGAATATACAAATTGTGAAATTAATTCTAAAATTATATGATCTTTTAATGAACATATAAAAGCCTTTAATTTCATTTTTTATTAAAAAATGAAAGGATTTTAATGATCAAAGGCTAACATATTTAATCGATCAAACAATAAAAATTTAATTAAAATAAAATAATCTACATGGATTTAGTTATTTAAAATTATGTAAAATTATAAAGATTTGTAGATTAATTTTTTTATAAAGTCTTGATATCATATTTAATTATTGGTGTTGTTTGGTGGTCCCCGGGTAACGATTACAAGGAGTCGATTAAGTTATAAGGATTAAGTAGAGATCGTACAGCAAAAAGAAATCATTGTTCTGATATTGGGGATGATACGGAAATATTATTACTTGTTGCCCACACACATGCTGATTTGAGGGGTACAAACTGTTCCTGAAATTCTCAAATCACTTGTGTTGGTGAATGGTCAAATCAAACATTGTGCAAGAATGGCCTAGCATGCCTGGCCCTGTATTCCCAATTTGGGCCGGGCAAAAAGCTAGGGCTTAGGGCTCAAACATATTTATTTTATTTATTTTTAAAATTTTTTTGGTGAAAATAATTGTTTTGTGATTGTCATTGATATTTTTTAATAATTTAGTTTTTTTAATCATGTTAAAAATTTAAAGTAACTTTTTAACTTAGTAATATATAAAAATAATGGATAATTTTTAACCTATATATAATTTTAAAAATTATTACTTTTCATCCTAATGTTAGTTCTATATAAAGTGTATCTTAAATGAGAATAATTATAATTTTTTTTGTAAATAAAAGTTTTTCATTTCTTCTAAAATATTTTTTAAAAATATTTTTTTTGAGCCAAAATTTGACCCAAACAATTGAGCATCAATCTAGCCTGAATCGCTTCTCAGGTTGGGTCATAAGTTAAGGTGATATTTGACCCAACCTTACTTTCATGCAGCTCAAGTCAAATCTTTCTAATAACGCATTTTCATGCCAAATAAGATGTAAGAGGAGGAAGATGCCTTCTAGCTAAAAGCTGACCTGAAATTTATGGGATTTAAATATCAAACCTTGTTCAGAGATCACAGTTGACAGAGTTGATGGACAAAGAGCCAAATCAGATGGCTTTGGTAAAATGACGATCACAGAAGATGTGATGTAATGATTCTTGCAGCTCACAGCCAGAAGGACATAAAACACAGTAAGGTAGATGACGGACTAAGAGAATATCACACATGCAGGAATGGCTTTGTGTATTA